GCACAAAGGACGAATGACCAACGACGAAAGAAGAAAGATGAAAGACGAAAGGCGAATGGCGAACGACGGGCGACGGGCAACGAGTGGCGACGAACGACAAACGACGAATGACGGGACGATGTATGACGAACGACAAACGGCGAACGATGAGCGACGAACAAAAAGCGTCGAAAGACGAGCGACGCGCAACGATCGACAAGCGACAAAAGCGAAAGACGAGAGATGAGGACTAACGAGTAAAGACAAAGATGAAAGGCGGAAACGAAAGGTGGAAACTAATTACGAAAGAGGAAAAGCGAATTCAAAAGACGAAGACGAATAAACAAGACGAAAACGAAAACGAAGATGAAAAACGAAAGCCGTTATCCGAAAGACGAAGACAAATGACGATGACGAAAGACGAAGACGAAAAATAAAGTCGAAAGATGAAGACGAAAGACGATGTCGAAGAACGAATATTGAAGGCGAATACGAATTCCAGGGCGTAGATGGAAACGAAGATTAATACAAAGACTAATACGATGACGAAAGACAAAAAAAGTACGTACATTTTCAAAAAGTGTACTAATAGGATAATGTATTCATGGAAGCAAAATCGATCAAAAGCGGCGAATCGTTGCCAAAACGAATACTATAAAGGATAACGAAAAACAAAAGGAGAAAACGAAAACACGAAAACAAAAAATAAAATGAAAAAACTAAAATATAAAACGAAAATGACATAATAAAATCGAAAAAATGAAAAAACAAAACGCAAAAAAGAAAAAGAAAAAACCAACGGAAAAACGAATACGAAAAAATAAAAACGAAAAAAAGGCAACAAAAAAACGATAACGTTTAATCGAAAACGTTTAAACGAAAACGGAAAAAACAAAACAAAAACAAAAAAGAAATCAAAATTACAAAACGAAAAAACGACAAAAAAACAAAATCGAAAAAGCAAATACGGAACAATGAAATCGAAAACGAAAAGCGAAAATGAAAAAACCAAAACGAAAAAACGAAAACGAAAAAACCAAAACGAAAACGAAAATACGAAATCGAAGAAACGAAAACAAAATAACCAAAGCGAAAAAACAAACGAAAAAAAGTATAGAAAAAATGAAAACGATTAAATGAAAACCAATAAACGAGAACGAAAAAAGGGAAAAATACGAAACAACGAAATCGAAAAAAGGAAAACGAAAACGAAAATGCAAAAACCAAAACGAAATTACAAAATGAAAACGAAAAAATTTAAAAACCAAAACGGAAAAACGAAAAAGCGAAATATCGACAACAGAAAACGAGAACCAACGAAAAACAACAAAAAATGAAAATAAAAAACAAAAACAAACAAAACCAATTGAAAAATCCAAACGAAAAAAAATCTCGTCGAAGATAAAATCAAAGACAAATGAATTCGATAGTTGAAGACGAAAGACGAAGGCTACAGACGAGAACGAAAGACGAATGCGAATACGAACGACACCAAAAAGGAAAAAGAATTACTAAGACGAAGTACAAAGACGATGCACAAAGTCAAAATGTAACGGCGAAAGCAGAAAGAGAAAGACAGAAACGAAATACGAATTTAAACGACGAACACAATTGACGGAGGCGAAATACGAAGTCGAAAGACGAAGATGAAAAGAAAAGACAATGACAAAAGACGAAGACGAAAAACAATTATGAAAGACGAGGTGGAAACGCGAAGACGAAACACGAAGACGAATGTCGAAGACGAAGACCAAGACGAAAGGCGAAAGCGAAAGTTGAAGACGAAAGGCGAAAGACGAAGAGGAAGACGAAGACGAAAGACGAAGACGAATGTTGGAATCGAAGACGAATGTTGGAAACGAAGACGAAGACGAAAGACGAATACGAAGACGAGAGACGAGAGACGAAGACTGACGACTAAAGACAAAGACGAAGGGCGAAAACGAAAGGTGGAAACTAATGACGATAGAGGGAAGGCGAATACGAAAGCCGAATTGAAGAAGATGTAGACGAGGACGACGACGAAGACGAAAGACGAAAACGAAAGATGAAGGCGATAGAAGAAGACGAATGACGAATTCGATAGTTGAATGCGAAAGACGAAGGCTAGAGTTGAGAACGAAAGACGAATGCGAATTACGGACGAAGACGAAGACGAAGAGGAGGAAGAGGAAGACGAAGACGAAGACGAAGACGAAGACGAAGACGAAGACGAAGACGAAGACGAAGACGAAGACAAAGACGAAAGACGAAGACGAAGACGAAGAGGAAGACGAAAAGGAAGACGAGGACGAGGACGAAGACGAAGACGAAGGCGAGAGATGAAGACTAACGATTAAAGACAATGACGAAAGGCGAAAACGGAAGGTGGAAACTAATGACGAATGAAGAAGATGAGGACGAGGACGACGACGTCGACGACGAAAGACGAAGACGAAAGATGAAGACGAAAGACGAAGTCGAAGAACGAAGACGGAAGGCGCATAAGAAATCCAGGACGAAGATGGAAACGAAGACTAAGACAAAGACGAATACGAAATATGAAGACGAAAGACATACGGAAATAAAATCTAAATTTTTCAAAAATGTACGCATTAGGGTAATGTATTGTAACCCCTTACGCGTGTCTGTCTGTCTGGAACGGGAATGGGAATTTCAATAATAATGGTCAAAACCATTTGCGTTAACAAAC